CCTCCGCTTGTGCACTGGCGCACGCGGGCGCTGCTGCTTTTCTGTTGGACAACAATGCCCCGTATCGCCGTACATCGATGAATAAAGAAATATCAATAATGTTCAGAGAGGGGAATTATCATCCCAAATATAATGTTAATTATGATTTCTACTCGCAACATCGAAATTGTGCTGGAGACGAACTAGCTTCGAATTTGAATGGCTGGAAAGTGAAACCTAACCTCAACCTGTCATTTTTCAAGTGAAGTACTTGCCCTTGGCAATCCCAATAAGATTCACTCTCGTGTTTTCCTGTAGATTCGGAGACATTCAGATATCAAAAACGAAATGATAAATTGATGCTCCACCACAAGTCAAGAAGAAAAGGAAAATTATGAAATAATGCAACATCAAATTCCGAGTAAGTTGTCAAGCAGTTCCTGCCAAATATCTTGAAATCCAATGGAAAGCGGAATTTGTATGATGCCCTGTTTCTCAGCCTTTGAAATTTTCTACAAAAAAAATTCCTATCGAATTTCTCCTTAAGATTACAAGATATTCACCTAAAACTGCCGAGTGGACAGCTGGCAGTTGATGTCTCTGACTTATCCCCGAATTGTCATTCTTGCAATGGAGATAGCGGAATTTTTATAATAATCTTTCTTATAGCCCTTGAGATTTTCTATAAAAAAGGTTCCCATTCGAATTGTCCTATTTCTTTCAGTTTACAAGATACTCACCAAAAACTGCAAAGTGTACTTCTGTCACTCACTTAACCGTGAAATTTCATTTTTGCAATGCAGATAGCGGAATTTTCATAATAACCTTTTTTATAGCCCTTGAAATTCTCTATAAAAAATGTATTCATCGAAATTCTTCTATCTCCCTTAAATGACGAGATAAAAAGCTACAGAGTGGACTGATGTCACTGACAACCCTGAAATATCATTTTTGAGCTGATATCATGTGAGAAAAAAACGGTTTTCTGAATTTCGCTCTACATTCGTTTTTTCTACTGTTCCACTTTGCCCCACGTTCCACTTTGCCCCGCCGTTCCACTTTGCCCCACCGTTCAACTTTGCCCCACCCTCCCCTACATGTACCGAATTATTTTTATGTGTAATTCTTATAATAAACAGAAAATAATTAATTTGTGCAGAAAAAGTACCAACGTCGGTCCGTCGCCGCTGTTTTTCTTTGAGCTGGTTGGCCTGCCACACTGTTTCTCACTTGTTACATTTTGACTTCGTTCCTTGAATTAGTTACTTGATTTGCTACACAAATGAGTTTTAAAGAAATTAACAAATAAATGCACAAGATATAAGGTGAACTTCAGATATTTTATATTCCATTTTAGCTTCGAACTTTCATAATAATAGTTACTTTGAATTCATATATCTTTATGGTCTTTAAAAACTAGTACTCGCTACAATATCGCATCTAGCAAAATCTTCTACATCTGAATAATTATTTCCGCTATGCTTTTATAGGAATTTGTGCCATAAAAATAGGTATCGCGGCCATGCACAAGTAATTTTTACTACAGAAATTCTCTCCGGGCACAATTAATAACTTTTCAAGTCAAAAATTTAATCAAGATAAAATCTGTAGCGAAGTGGTAAAATGAAGTAAGTGTATTTTTCCTATTTTCGTAAAACTCGGATTATCTCATATCAGTAAGGACTGATTTTAGGAGAGAAAGTCACAAAACCATTTTTGTAGCTGATTATTTTTCCAACAAAGAATGTTATTTGATATTTTCTTCTAAAATCATTCCTTAGTGAGATAATACGAGTTTTAAGAAGATGTGGAGAATGCACTTACCTCGTTTTACCATTTTGCTACAGAAATATATTCGTTCCTTCTTCAGAAATCACTTTTCCAATGAAAGGGCAAATGAGAGGCCTTCATCAACCAAGAGAAAATTTTACGAATAATTCTGACGGCATGTTGTCGTCAAATTTTTGTAGATATTTTACCGATAATTTTAATGGCTTACTGTCATCCTATTTTTGCGGGAATTTTGTCGATAATTTTGACAACATGTTGTTGTCCTATTTGTGCCGAAAATTTTGCCGATAATTTTGACTATATGTTGTCGTCCAATTTTTGCGGAAATTTTGCCGATAATTTTGACGACATGTTGTCGTTCAATTTCTGCGGGATTTTTGCTGATAATTTTGACGACATGTTGTCGTTTAATATTTGCGGAAATTTTGCCGATAATTTTGGTGACGTGTTATCGTCCAATTTTTGCAGATATTTTGCCGATAAATTGGATGATACATTGATGGTAGATTTAACGAAAAAATTTGACGATGAACATGGTCATGAGCGTTCGTCATTTTGACGACAATTTCGCTGTTAAGTTTCGGAAATTCTTTTCGGAATTTGGTCGCCAATTCAGCTGTAAAATTTCGGATGCTATGTCGACAATTTTCCGGAAAAATGTCGGCATCTTGTTTTCTGGGTACTTGAATTATCAGAGAAACTTGACATTCCATTGACATTTTACCCGTAAATCGAATTCCAATTTTTTTCCGGAAAATTCAGCTAAATTTTTTTAACAGGGTAATTCGATAAGAACATGAATGAAAGTTGTGAATTTTAATCCAACTATCAGGTAAAAATTTGAAAAAAAACATGAACAGTCAGATGAAAATTGAATAGCCATGTTCAATTGACAATTCAAGTACATTGTAAAACCCCTCAGGCAACCTCCCTTTCATTATTACTTGAAACTTATGAATCAAAACATTTTTCCCTCAAATCCAATTCAGAGCAGGGGAGAGTGGGGTAAAGTGGAACTTTTGGAATCAACTTTAAATTGTGATATCTGTATGTACCGTCAGTGACCAAGTTATGGAACCCTTAAGAAACGAGACCCAGTTATGACACCGTATTGCTTTCAATAATTTAGATTTATTGTTGAGTGGATATTTTTGGTTTTAGAGAAAGTATACAGCACATAGTATTCATTTCACTTCTTAAAATGGCCATAAGTAATGCTGATCGCATTCGTGATTTCTGATTATAGCCGTCAATGCGAAGTCACCGGTGAAAATTGTCGGTGGTACCATTGCCAAAATTGAAGAATTCCCATTCTACATCTCGATTGGACGGGGCCGAGATAGGAATTGCAGTGGTAGTCTGATTTCTAATAGACATGTGTTAACTGCTGCGCACTGTCTTCTCAACGAACGCTCGAATTCCTACACATCTGCTAAAGTTTTGCCTAAAAACGAAATTAGGGTGTACACGGGTGGTAACAATAACGGGAGTTTAAAAAAATCTCGCGAAGTTGAAAGAATACATATTCACAGAAACTTCAATTTTAATGTCACCGTGAGTCCTCATGATATAGCTATTCTGATGGTAAGTCGATCATTGATATATTACAAACTTGTTCAGGTGATTGGATATAATTTCAAGACTATCTTTCATTTCTCTAGCTCAAAAAAGCTATAGTACCAGGGCCCACACGAAAACCTATCGCATTACCAACTCACGGTGCACAACCAAACGAACTTGGTTATATAGCTGGTTGGGGAGACCTTAATGAATACGGTTAGCTGCCGTTGTACCAAGTATTGTACCAAACTCAGATGAAAGTCGAAAACTGCTCGAAATTTAATTTGGTCCGGCTCGACAGCGAATTATATGGATTTATTGGCAATGGAATTGGTTTTTGTAGAGTAACTACGCGGTTACAAGATTTTGTTGAAATTTCTCACGTCAAATCACGGAAAATTTTATTAAGTGTTGATTGATGTAGGAAAGAAAGGACCATTATGTTTGTAGACACAATAGACTTTGCAAATTTAGTGTTGCATGTTTTTTAAAATAAAAATTCACACGGTGAACGAATTGATCAAACACATTCGAGGGCATATGACTAATGGTAAATACTCTCGAAGTGTCCTCCATCAGAATTTGCGCAATATTCAAGGCGTTTCTGAAAACTATGGAAGACTTCTTTAAGGATTTTCTACATGCACTGAAAAATATAAGAAATTGATGAAATTTTTTTTAAAGCATCTCCAATCTATTAGAATATAGAACCGTACACTGAGAGAAAAAATTATTCCTGCCAAGGATTGATATTCTCGTCAGAAGATAATATTTTTTCAGAACGAATTTTTCCAGGACAGTCATTTTCAGAGAGTCCAAGTCTATCCTAAAAAATTACAGTGATATTGAACAATCTGATTATTATGCTACATATGACCTTGACAAAATGTTCTCCGATATCTTCCGGATTTTACAAATTGGCGATTTTCTCAGGTAAAGAAAATTGGAATAATTCCAAATGTTAATAATTATTATTGGAGTTTCTTCGAGATCATATGCAGAAGAATATTCTTATAGATCACCATAATTCTCACGCTTGAAACTGATTTCGGAGCACCTGGAAATGACTGGCCTGGAGAAATACGTTCCAAAAGAGATATTTTCTTCTACTAAGAGTATGAAAAAGATATCACCAATAACATTTTCGTGGAAGGAATAAATTTTTTTCTCAGTGTATGAAACATTCCAGATTTTTTTGATACCCTAGAACAAAGTTATGATTTAAAAAAAAAAGCAATTTAACCCGTGTTGTTATGGGAAATTCACAACATCTTAGAAAAAAGTCGGAAAAATGCTTCTATCGCGATGAAACTTTGCACACAGTTAAAAAATGATCAAACGCACAATCGCTATATTTTTTTAAATCGATCAAATCAATAATTTGGAACGAAAAGTTGAAAAAACATTGAAAATTTTTGGTCGACTGAAATTTCTGCGCGAGCAGCTCCAACATGCGACAGCGTCGCAACAGTTCCTATCGTAAAAAGGAGAAAGGATATCGAGTTCGATATCTCGATATATGTATGTCGATACTCGAAACACTGTCACCGTAAGACTGAAACCGACGCGCCACCACGGCCACCTTGGCAATTGCGTCAAAATCGTGCGCTTTCGATCATATTCGGAATATTTCGGGCCCGGGACGTTCGTTTGGTGTCGGGTGAATTTGGTATTCAAAATCTCCAACGGTTAAATATCGCCACGATCTTACGAATAATAAAATTCATCCAGCGAAAATAATGGCATCGCCACCGGTCAAGTTCACCACGAGCAAAGCCATCGACCACTTTAATGCAGGGGCAACATTGATGTGAATATTTTTGGGGAATATCTCTGAAATGATAGAGAGTTGCTTTATTAATGCACGTAACCTCTCATGCCCACGTGCTGGAGACAGAGAATTGATGGGTTTTATTTTTTCAGGAAAATTACGGGATATGTCGATTGCATCGAAGGCACCAGAGAACTGCCCAAATCACCATCGAAGTGGATTTACAAATGTATCTTGAACAATAACGATCAAAAGAGGGTTAGAATCATTTTTTGGGGAGACGACGCCCTCAAATACAAGAAAGAAATTTCCATGTATCAGGTACTAAACTAATCATTTCCATTAATTTCCAGTCATAAAAAGAAAATTCATTATTTTTTGCTACTTTTTTCATATTTTTTTCATTGGGCTTACGACTGCCCACAAAAATTTATTAAACTTTAAATTTAACCTCATAAAATTGATTAAATTTAACCTCAATTTTTCAAATAATTAATCTCATAATTTTATCACATTTATAACGCCATGAAATTGAAATTATATCCAATCAGGCAATACAACAGAAATCAAAATTTTTAAAACAAAAATTCATTTGCAGTCACTTTTTTGTCTTCTTTTTTTCGAATTACCTATGAAGTGTTTTTTTCAATTCAGAATTTTCTACCCTATTCATCACGAATTTAATCCCTACAAACTAAAATTAGACTCAGTTATAAAAAAAGCAGAAAATAATTTTCAACAAAAATCAGAAAAAAATAAAAAAATCTGATTTAAAAAAAAAAACAAAACACAATTTTAACAAAAATTTATTTGTCATTTCTTTTGGTTTGGAGTCTTCTTTTTTTTTGGGTCCGATCGCTTGCCAAACTGGATTATTTGAACTCATAGTTTTTCAAATCATTCACTATATTTTCAATCCCCAAAAATGGAAATTGTATGCAAATTTTTAAAAAGTAAAAAATTGTCGATTTATTTCCTCAGATCCTGAAGATCACAGGTGGAGTAATCAAAGAAGCTAACCCCACTTATCGCCGATCAGGAGATACCGTGAGCAGTAAAGAATTCCAGTTCGGACGTGGAAGCACTCTGGAAATTCTTGGGACATTTGATGTTGCCAACGGTGCTTCCGACGAAAAGAAGGAAGTTGCCACATTCGAACGTATCGAAATGAAAGACGTGTGCACAGCGAGCTCACCGGTTATCGTTTCCGGATGGTTAAAGGAACATTTCAGGAGCGTAAACATTGCTAACGGGGCCAGCTACAGATGTGGCATGATTTGCACAGATGTGTACAGGATGACGGTACATGTGACGACATTTGTACCCAGACCTGATTTTGTGGAAGGGATGAAGCTTGATGTCAAGGGGACCATTGATCGTCGTGCGGATGCATTTGTTATAAATGTTAAATCTATGGAAGAAATTACAGTTGTCCCTTTCGCTCCAATGATGACGGAGGACCAAATGGACGATGCAGTTGAGTCACCCCCTTTGACTTCCAAACGAGATGCAGGTGACCATCCAGAAGACGAAACCGGAAAGGTAGTTGAAATTCATTGATTTGTGGAGTATAATTTTTCAATACGTTCTTCAAATATTGCATTTAATATATTTTTCTTTTTTCAGAAACAAAAAGTAGATTAGACTCATTACGGCGCATTTTCTCCCTGCATTTCATTTGGTGATTATTGTCCATTGTTTTTTTATGAAGTTCACAAAAAATGACAGGATGCCAAAAAATGTTTTTCTTAATAATAGAACAGTTAGACTCAATTCTTAAATTCATAATATATCAATATTATTTGGATTAATATATTATCAAAAAGATTATATGTTTCAAGCACTTTAACCGACAAGAATATCAACAAGATTTTTAAATTCAGAGGGTAAGGCAGTTTCATTGACTTCATTGGGACATTGTTCATTAAAACTGTTTAATTGTGTAATACATGAAAATTTGCATTTTTTAATTGAGAATTCTTCATAAGTGATGAGAAAAAATGATCTCTTTTCAGTTTTTTTTCCTTTTCAACTTTTTCGGTTTCCTTTGTCATCAAAATGAAAACTGCAGATTTTCAGCATTTTATTCTTGCACTGAAAACAACTATTTTATTGAAGTCTGCCCTGTGATTCTTAGTGATGTATTCAACAATTTCAATAATGGACAATTTATAAGATTTAGAGTTTCAGAATTCTTTAATGATTCAATGTTGTTTGATGTCGTATGTAACTGTTGTAGAGAATAAGATATTTATATTTTTATACGAGAAGACAGATGGTGAATGAGGATACTATGCGCGAAAAGTATTACATGTTGTCATGTATAAAAATTTGCAGTTTTTTTTTCCTTGGGTATGTTTTTTTTTGCATCCTTAAGCATGTCTCACTATTGATTGGGAGAAAAATAATGCAATTTTCGTTTTTTATTTATTCAATTATTTTTATTTGTCAAGAAAATAAAAACTGCAGATTTTCATCATTCCATTTTTGTAGTCAGGAAGGCAATGAGTTTATTGAGACTGCCAAATATGTGTTAATGGTATAATTTACAATTTAAAAAATTTTTATGATAAGAATTTATGAAATATTTTTATATATTCAAGGATTCAACTAATAACTAGAGCCGTTAGAAACCAAAATATTGTTTTCAGCAAGAGATGTATTTTTAATATAAAAAAATACAAGATCTTGAATAGAAAAGACTTGAAATATTCTATATATAGGCTTCTTCGGAAATATTTGATTCCAAAATGTATGAAAATTACAGTTTGTTGATTATTTCATTTATTTTTGTAATTTTATTAATATTTTCTCATAATTCATTAGAAAAAAAGGTCCAATTTTTGTTTGTTTTTTTTTCTTTTCATTGTTCTGGGAAACAATCAAGCGACAACTGCTAATTTTTTTTATTTCGTTTTTTTTAGCGATAAAAACGATTTTGTAATTATGAGTCTGTCCAGCAGTATTTGTCTGCGATGCTATGGAATAATTTAGATTCAAAAAATTCATAAGATATGTGTACTTAGACAGAAAAAATGTGTTATCGGTTTTCTGATGATTTCAATAATTCAAATTGGAAATGAGAATTTTTAAATCAGAACAGACGTTTTTTCATCGTAAAATAAGATTTTTTATTCCAGAAAAATGTGTTTTTCGTCTTAAAAAAAACAATGTAATAGTGTTTTTCTTGATGAGTTTATTCACAAAATTTTGAAAGGCATGTAAATTCGCAGTTTGTTTATTTTTATTCATTATGTGTATTTTTTTTTAGTTTGAAGGATTTCTAATGAATGATTGGGAAAAATAGATCTCTTTTTATATTTTGTCATGTAACAATATTATCTAAACTGCAAAGTTTTATAATTGTATGTTCCGAAATGTCTTTTCAGTATTCCTTTGCGATATTGTTGAACAAATTCGACAATAAACAATCCATAATATATTTAGATTTAGAAAATCCTGTAATGACTCAATGTTATTTGAACAAAGACTTAATGTCAGATATGATTGTTGGGAACGAGATGTTTATTTTCAAATAGAGATAAGTCAAGAACATGATCAATATGAGGGAAAAACTACTTTCATGACATTGATTGTTTGAAAGAAAGATAAGAAAGACTAATTTCAACGACTGATGGATACATTTTGAAGACTCAATATAATTTTAAGAAGATCTCGATGTCAATTATGGCTCATGTGATTAAAAATGTTGTTATTGTCAAATAAAAATCAAAAATATATTCGATTTGTTGAATTTTTCTAGATAGTAAACTGTAGTTTTTTCTGTACAAAACAGATGGCAGCACTATATAGCTGCTCTGTCTAAATGCTTTATCTACATATATATATAGATACAACGTATCGACAATTATTATCGATCATTTTAACCTTTTATCATTAAAAATAACGTGTAAATTTATTTCTGTATAACTCTTATGGTTATTGTTGAGTAATACATTGATTCACTCATCTAAGTTGATCAAAATTTACGTCAGTCCAACACGAAAAGTTCTGTCTGACTGGAAACGTGGGTTTTAATGTAGTGAATTGAGGTTACGGTGAGTAAGTTGTCTATTAATGATTACATAATTATATTATTCTTCTTACTTTTCATTCCGTAAAGAGAGTTCGACGAAATTTGCCCCAAAAAGTGAAATATTAAATGCGTACGACGTCTACAAAATTGTCTGAATATATAATAATTGTTTATTTTCAGAGCAGTCAGTTTTCTCATTTTTGCTCAGCGAGCCATCACTCAAACAACAAGGCAGTAAATGGAATAAACGCTGTGAGTATATCACTCTCCGCATTGAAAAATCTGATGGATAATTGTAACGAGTTCGCTAGAAAATTCCATTGGAATTCTATATACCTTCTATAGGAATTTTATTGAAAAATTCTGTGTTTTTGGCGTCGATTCTATTCCATATTTTTCATTTAAAAAAACAAACAGGGATAGGAGCCTATCAGATAAAAGGCGAGTGACCGTCAGTTTTTCCTTAGTATGCTTTTTTTTCTTTTCATTTCTATTTCGGTGAATTTCATTCGTAGTGAGCTTCTAGAGGAAAATATATTAGAGGACTGAAAGGCCATTCTATTGCATCCATAATTTACAGGATGTTCAGAAGAAAGTAGTTGACCCTTCAAATAAATGGATTTATACAAAAACATCAATATCTCCTAAACCTCTGTGCCGATAGTGTCCATTTGAACTACGGACATTTCATATTATAAGAGAGATATACATGTCAATTTTTAATTTGATAATATTGTTTTTTCTGTCAAGTTATCAGCCGCAGACGACTGAAAAAAAGCAGAAAAATAAGATTATCTTTAAAACTTTCAAGTATTTTGAAGAAAAAGATGAAATTCGATAAGTAGTTCACACGATGTTTGACAAAATAGATTTTTTACAAAAAATTGAATATCTCGCGAACCACTAGGCCGATTTTATTTAAAATCGCAATGATCAAACTTCAAATCGCTATGATCATTTTTTATTGAGTCATCGTATTTGCAAGTTTTTTCATGAACAAACGGCTAAACGGTAATATCTCTAAACTCTGCATAAATCTGTATATATACTATGGGTAGCCTAGATAGAAGCCTAGAAATTCCATGGAATTTATATAGAATTGCAAAAGAATTCTCTAACGAATCCGCTAGCATTTTTCATTACATTTTTCCATACGTATCAATGTGTTATATTAAAGTAAGTCTTTATTAAGTGAAATATCACATCATCATTTTTATTGTTTTCAGTTTCAGCAGTGTCCAGTCATACGGAAGGTCGGCGAAGCTAAAGAAAATACCGATAAAAAAATTACCGATAATACAGATAAATACCGATAAATATACCAGTATTTTTACCTAAAGAAACCTTTACAAAATTTATAAAAGAAACATTACCCAGAATATAATAATACCAAAAAGATTATAACATTTTAACGATAAATTATAATTCATTTCACAATCTCACCGGAGGAATAATTTAATTTTTTCAAGTACATTCGATCATTTCATTCTCTATTTTATATTCTTATTGTTTAGATTTAATGACGTGAAATACAACATCAATTAAATCATATTGGAAAACAATAAAGATAATTACATCATTTGGTGTATTGTGAATTAAATAAAAGAAGTTTTCTTTTTCTCTCATATCCATCCATATATCTCCCATCTATAATTCCATTATTGTAAATTCTAAAATGCCCAGAAAAAAAATCTGACGCACAAAGGAAGAAGAAGAAGAATATAAAAGAATGAAACGTGAGAGAAACGCAGCGTATCAACGCGAATATCGTGCTAAATGTCGCAATCTACAGAATAATTCGAGTCATTCGCTTTTGGAATCTGATAATTCTCTTGGATTATCAGCTATCCAAGTTCATAATGATATCCATCCAAACGGAAGGAATTCTCTGATAGCCAATGAACACAATTACGTTAGTAGACAGGTGATTCAACGAACAAATATACAGGCAATACGACGAGAAAAGAATGCCGCGTGTCAGCGTGAACGTCGGGCGAAACTTCGCAATCAACAACATAGTTCAAATCGTATAATCCATGAAATCGATTCCTGTCTGCCATCATCGGTTACTCAACGTTCAGATAGCATTCCTCAAAATACAATTAAACATATTATTTCTGAGGATAGAAATCATGATAATAATATAGTCACAGAAGTTATAGTCACGGAAGTTTCAATTCCAGTCAACTTGCAAATAAACGTTAGTACCAATCCTGCTACCATAGATGAATGATCCAACAATCATCAGCCTCATATATCAGAAAGAAATCGGCCAAGTACTACTCGGGATACTTCAGTACAAGATATCGAAGAACATTATATTGGTCCAATGAATATTCGGTGTAGTCATTGCAATGCTAAACATTTTCCGGCTGAAAAAGTTCGCAAAGATTCATTCAACGATTGTTGTAGTCATGGAGAAGTTGCTCTTGAAGCTTTCCCCAATCCACCAACTATTTTACAAGATCTTTTCAATGGTACTCACGAAAAATCAAGGCATTTTCATGAACGAATACGTTGTTATAATAATGCGTTTGCATTTGCATCATTCAATGCTAATTTAGTAGATTTTTCTGATCGACGACCAGACCCCGTTTGTTTTAAGCTGCATGGTCAAGTGTATTATCAATTCAATAAAAGTCTCTACCCTGAATCAAATGAAACTCCCTCCTATGGCCAACTGTTCATAATTGATCAAAACGAAGCTACAGACATACGATGCAATTTGATATCCACATTGAATCATGAAGTAGTTCAAGCGGTAGATGATTGCCTTCGTCAGTGTAATCTATTTGCTCAGTCTTATCGAATGATGCATGAAGAACTTCAATCTATGAGAGATTTGGATACCGAGAAGGAACCCGAAATGCAGCTAATATTTTCACTCAAACCTGGAATGGACAACAGGTGCTATAATTTACAAAAAATTAATGAAGTAGCTGCCATTTTTACGACTGCAGCGGATGGTGATATACCAGAATGTTATGTTTCAGTTCGTAATAAACATACCAAAGAACTTCAATTTATCAATTCCATGGACCCTAACGTTGAACCATGGATTTACCCTCTGTTTTATCCCTATGGTACGAGAGGTTGGCATGCGAATTTACGTTGCGTGAATAGAGACAAAAGAGTATCACGAGCTGCATATACTAAATATAGAATGGCTGACAGAGACAATAATATAATCCTGCAAGGAGGACGATTATACCAGCAGTGGGTTGTCGATAGTTATGTTAAAATTGAAAAGGATAGAATGAACTATTGCAGACAAAATCAAAAGACTCTACGCAGTGAATCATACCAAGGGTTAGTAGATCACTTACAGCGACGCGCAAATGATACTGATAGTCAGGTAGGAAAAATGGTCATCCTTCCATCGACATTTACAGGGTCCCCACGTAATATGTTGCAAAATTATCAAGATGCAATGGCTATTGTACGAAAATTTGGTAAACCCGATTTATTTATCACTATGACTTGCAATCCTAATTGGATTGAAATTAAAGAAAATGTATTACCAGGCCAAATGGCATCTGACAGACCAGATATTGTGTCACGAGTTTTCGATATAAAAAAAGACGAATTGATCAGAGATGTTGTCAAAAACACGTTATTCGGTGAAGTATCTGCCTATGTATATTGTTCCGTCTCCAACGAAAATTAATTTTCTTTTTTTTTATTTTTATAATCATTAACAATTTTTAATTTTCTTTCTCTTTAAAAAATAATATATTAAATAATATATTATATTAAAAGGTAGCGGAGAGATATGGAAGGTCGGAAGATAAATCACTACATTTTTTAAATAACTAATCTGGTCAGTGAGGGAAATGACACGAACGGGGAAAGAATCATCAATAAAACTTCTCTTCTTTCGAAGAAAAAATATTTTTTGTGGTTATAAACCAAATTCCTGGCCCAGACCCAGAGCAATCCACATGTGGGGTTGTATTTGGGGCCCCAAGGAACCCAGGGAAAGGTTTATTGCTCACTCGGGAACCGTTTCAAGATCCGCGTCAATTTAAAAACATGTGCTGGGGAAAATTTGTCGGTCGGGTAAATTTTACAACTTAATCCGTTGCCAGCCGTGTACTCACAAAAAAAGGGATTTCACCGTGAAAATAAAACTGAGGGTCAGAAACCAAAATCTTTCCTCGATCGGGGAATTTCCCTTGCCTCCCACCTTTTCCAAAATTCGAAAGAAGGCTGGACTTAGTCCAAACCAATGAACATCATCCTCCAAAATCTGAATTTTAGCAAAGTCTCCACCTACCTTCCACATCTCTCCGAGGATGAAAAGAGTCATCAGTTTATCGTCAAGAGTCAGAAGGAAAGGATCCATCCTGATTTCTCTCAAATTCTAATTTTACCAGTTCAGTTCAGTCTTGTGCAGTTTCAGTCATCAAACAATTGTTCTCAATCTATGTACTCTCTCGTTTTGCATCAAACCGTGTTATAGTCAATAAATCCAAACAACTCGTTTTCATTAATCAATGTGTGTGTTAGTGTGATTAATTTCATTATTTGACAAAGGTCCCTTTCCACAACCAATTTAAAATATTTCCAGTGACATTATTCAAGTGCAAAATTAAAAACATTAAACCAATTAAACTATTAAAATTAAAAGAGACAATAAATAAAATATAGTGAATATCTCGAGTGATATTAAATTGTTAACTCGAGTGTATCAACGTAAGGTTGGTACATT